GTCTTCATTATTGCAGTCTCTTGCTGAGGACGAAACTTGACCTTCCTTGATGTCTTTTGGGCTGAATCAAACTTCATGGGCTTCTCTGATGGATCAAGATTGTAGAATGAGTCGGTTTGTAGCTTAATTCATTATGGCCTGGTCAGAATCCTTCATTGAATGCACACATGTCCGAATCAAGTAAACCGGAAATGACCCGTCTTGTAAATTGAATAACTCCTTCGGTTGAACTCCGTTTGAACTGATTCTTGTTCGAGGTGTTCTGTAATTGAGCTGAGCATATTCTCCAGCCGGTTTCATGTGTGTAATCGTCGTGGTTGTGAAGATAAGATTCGAACAGTGAACACACGTCCTTCCTTGTTTCTGCCCATAATCATATCATTCTCCCTTTCTTGAAAAAGATTTGCCCTCAAATCTTGCCCTTATTTGAATATAACCTAAAAGAAGATGAATAGATGAGAAGGATGATAAAGAACGAAAACCAAACTCCAGAGTGGCTCTGATACCAAATGATGTGATCTTCCCAAGGATGGGGCACTCTAGAGTTGAGGTTGGATAGATTTGGCTAGAAGCCGTGATGATGGAAGGAGTGGAATGGTTGAATGGTTTGATTCAGAGATTGCGGAAAGATCTCTAAAACACCAACCTGAAGACTCGCTAGATATTACACACCAGGAGTGAACAGGGCTCGCTATAGACTCATTGGATATTACACACCAAGAGTGAATAGGGTTCTCCATAGATTTGACACCATAGAGAAGTGATCCAAGAGTTTGAAACGGGTTTGATAATAAAAACTTGGATAATTTTATTCATGATTTGCAGTCTCTATATATAGAGAAATTACAAGTATTTTCGTCCTAGTTAATAGCCTAACATGCAGAGCTTCTTGGAAAATGAATTACAACTCTAAACTGCATGTAGGAGAGAGAAATATGTCTTCATTATTGCAGTCTCTTGCTGAGGACGAAACTTGACCTTCCTTGATGTCTTTTGGGCTGAATCAAACTTCATGGGCTTCTCTGATGGATCAAGATTGTAGAATGAGTCGGTTTGTAGCTTAATTCATTATGGCCTGGTCAGAATCCTTCATTGAATGCACACATGTCCGAATCAAGTAAACCGGAAATGACCCGTCTTGTAAATTGAATAACTCCTTCGGTTGAACTCCGTTTGAACTGATTCTTGTTCGAGGTGTTCTGTAATTGAGCTGAGCATATTCTCCAGCCGGTTTCATGTGTGTAATCGTCGTGGTTGTGAAGATAAGATTCGAACAGTGAACACACGTCCTTCCTTGTTTCTGCCCATAATCATATCATTCTCCCTTTCTTGAAAAAGATTTGCCCTCAAATCTTGCCCTTATTTGAATATAACCTAAAAGAAGATGAATAGATGAGAAGGATGATAAAGAACGAAAACCAAACTCCAGAGTGGCTCTGATACCAAATGATGTGATCTTCCCAAGGATGGGGCACTCTAGAGTTGAGGTTGGATAGATTTGGCTAGAAGCCGTGATGATGGAAGGAGTGGAATGGTTGAATGGTTTGATTCAGAGATTGCGGAAAGATCTCTAAAACACCAACCTGAAGACTCGCTAGATATTACACACCAGGAGTGAACAGGGCTCGCTATAGACTCATTGGATATTACACACCAAGAGTGAATAGGGTTCTCCATAGATTTGACACCATAGAGAAGTGATCCAAGAGTTTGAAACGGGTTTGATAATAAAAACTTGGATAATTTTATTCATGATTTGCAGTCTCTATATATAGAGAAATTACAAGTATTTTCGTCCTAGTTAATAGCCTAACATGCAGAGCTTCTTGGAAAATGAATTACAACTCTAAACTGCATGTAGGAGAGAGAAATATGTCTTCATTATTGCAGTCTCTTGCTGAGGACGAAACTTGACCTTCCTTGATGTCTTTTGGGCTGAATCAAACTTCATGGGCTTCTCTGATGGATCAAGATTGTAGAATGAGTCGGTTTGTAGCTTAATTCATTATGGCCTGGTCAGAATCCTTCATTGAATGCACACATGTCCGAATCAAGTAAACCGGAAATGACCCGTCTTGTAAATTGAATAACTCCTTCGGTTGAACTCCGTTTGAACTGATTCTTGTTCGAGGTGTTCTGTAATTGAGCTGAGCATATTCTCCAGCCGGTTTCATGTGTGTAATCGTCGTGGTTGTGAAGATAAGATTCGAACAGTGAACACACGTCCTTCCTTGTTTCTGCCCATAATCATATCATTCTCCCTTTCTTGAAAAAGATTTGCCCTCAAATCTTGCCCTTATTTGAATATAACCTAAAAGAAGATGAATAGATGAGAAGGATGATAAAGAACGAAAACCAAACTCCAGAGTGGCTCTGATACCAAATGATGTGATCTTCCCAAGGATGGGGCACTCTAGAGTTGAGGTTGGATAGATTTGGCTAGAAGCCGTGATGATGGAAGGAGTGGAATGGTTGAATGGTTTGATTCAGAGATTGCGGAAAGATCTCTAAAACACCAACCTGAAGACTCGCTAGATATTACACACCAGGAGTGAACAGGGCTCGCTATAGACTCATTGGATATTACACACCAAGAGTGAATAGGGTTCTCCATAGATTTGACACCATAGAGAAGTGATCCAAGAGTTTGAAACGGGTTTGATAATAAAAACTTGGATAATTTTATTCATGATTTGCAGTCTCTATATATAGAGAAATTACAAGTATTTTCGTCCTAGTTAATAGCCTAACATGCAGAGCTTCTTGGAAAATGAATTACAACTCTAAACTGCATGTAGGAGAGAGAAATATGTCTTCATTATTGCAGTCTCTTGCTGAGGACGAAACTTGACCTTCCTTGATGTCTTTTGGGCTGAATCAAACTTCATGGGCTTCTCTGATGGATCAAGATTGTAGAATGAGTCGGTTTGTAGCTTAATTCATTATGGCCTGGTCAGAATCCTTCATTGAATGCACACATGTCCGAATCAAGTAAACCGGAAATGACCCGTCTTGTAAATTGAATAACTCCTTCGGTTGAACTCCGTTTGAACTGATTCTTGTTCGAGGTGTTCTGTAATTGAGCTGAGCATATTCTCCAGCCGGTTTCATGTGTGTAATCGTCGTGGTTGTGAAGATAAGATTCGAACAGTGAACACACGTCCTTCCTTGTTTCTGCCCATAATCATATCATTCTCCCTTTCTTGAAAAAGATTTGCCCTCAAATCTTGCCCTTATTTGAATATAACCTAAAAGAAGATGAATAGATGAGAAGGATGATAAAGAACGAAAACCAAACTCCAGAGTGGCTCTGATACCAAATGATGTGATCTTCCCAAGGATGGGGCACTCTAGAGTTGAGGTTGGATAGATTTGGCTAGAAGCCGTGATGATGGAAGGAGTGGAATGGTTGAATGGTTTGATTCAGAGATTGCGGAAAGATCTCTAAAACACCAACCTGAAGACTCGCTAGATATTACACACCAGGAGTGAACAGGGCTCGCTATAGACTCATTGGATATTACACACCAAGAGTGAATAGGGTTCTCCATAGATTTGACACCATAGAGAAGTGATCCAAGAGTTTGAAACGGGTTTGATAATAAAAACTTGGATAATTTTATTCATGATTTGCAGTCTCTATATATAGAGAAATTACAAGTATTTTCGTCCTAGTTAATAGCCTAACATGCAGAGCTTCTTGGAAAATGAATTACAACTCTAAACTGCATGTAGGAGAGAGAAATATGTCTTCATTATTGCAGTCTCTTGCTGAGGACGAAACTTGACCTTCCTTGATGTCTTTTGGGCTGAATCAAACTTCATGGGCTTCTCTGATGGATCAAGATTGTAGAATGAGTCGGTTTGTAGCTTAATTCATTATGGCCTGGTCAGAATCCTTCATTGAATGCACACATGTCCGAATCAAGTAAACCGGAAATGACCCGTCTTGTAAATTGAATAACTCCTTCGGTTGAACTCCGTTTGAACTGATTCTTGTTCGAGGTGTTCTGTAATTGAGCTGAGCATATTCTCCAGCCGGTTTCATGTGTGTAATCGTCGTGGTTGTGAAGATAAGATTCGAACAGTGAACACACGTCCTTCCTTGTTTCTGCCCATAATCATATCATTCTCCCTTTCTTGAAAAAGATTTGCCCTCAAATCTTGCCCTTATTTGAATATAACCTAAAAGAAGATGAATAGATGAGAAGGATGATAAAGAACGAAAACCAAACTCCAGAGTGGCTCTGATACCAAATGATGTGATCTTCCCAAGGATGGGGCACTCTAGAGTTGAGGTTGGATAGATTTGGCTAGAAGCCGTGATGATGGAAGGAGTGGAATGGTTGAATGGTTTGATTCAGAGATTGCGGAAAGATCTCTAAAACACCAACCTGAAGACTCGCTAGATATTACACACCAGGAGTGAACAGGGCTCGCTATAGACTCATTGGATATTACACACCAAGAGTGAATAGGGTTCTCCATAGATTTGACACCATAGAGAAGTGATCCAAGAGTTTGAAACGGGTTTGATAATAAAAACTTGGATAATTTTATTCATGATTTGCAGTCTCTATATATAGAGAAATTACAAGTATTTTCTTCCTATCGAGTTATGGGGAAGAGAGTTGTTTGAGATGTGTGGTTGAGATTAAAAGATGGGATAAAGAGGGAACAAGAAACTAGGGATTCTCTGATCGAATTAGGGTAGTGGGGGACCAAAATCAGCTTGTGGGACCCACTCCCTTGACCAAAAAACGGTTATGAATTTGAAATTCAAAAACTTACCTTGGTCGAGTTGAGGAACTCGATCGAGGGTTTCTAGCTCGATCGAGCTATCGGTCGAGCTGGCTCCTTGACACCTAAACTTAACTTATTCAAAGGTTAAAAACATAAAGATAGATAGAAATTGCATAAATAGAGTATGTACAAGGATAAACATGGGACTTCCTCCCAAGTGAGCTTGTTTAAGGTCCCATAGCTTGACCTTTACCTTCTTAGGCATTGGTTGAGCTAGTCCCACCATCAAGGGTGATAGTGAGGACTTGAGACAGAAGCTCCTTTAGCTTGGTGGGTCCCTGGACTGTTCTGAAGTCACCAAGGCCTTTGGCTCTAGAGAATGGCCTTGATCTCCCCTTGTACCTTATCTTGTACTCAATCTTCCCATTTTCAAACTTGGTGGGGAACAAAGTCATTGTGAGCTGAGATGGCTTGGATGAAGGGGCCTGAGCTGGTGGATCTTTTCTTTTATCCCCTGGTCTTGCCTTAGAGGCTACATCCTCCCCTTCTTTTAGAGCCCTTCCTAGTGGCTCATCAAACAAAGCTTGAAGGCTCTCTTCATCAAGCACACAAGGGGCTTGAACAAGTCGCTCAGCTCTTCCTATCAGATCGTGGTTTCTCAACTCTAGCCCTCTCAAGACGTGGCTTCTCAATCCTTGGTCCTCTTATCCTTAACCTCTTTGTCAACCCTTTCCTTCACAACCTTTGTAGCTCCATGACTCTTAGAACTGAGATTGGTACTGTCAATTGTGGCACAAAAGTCTGAACCTCTAGGCTGCAAGCGATATGACACCAAACTATTCACCTTGTGAAGGATCACTTCTTGCTTGTGAAAGTCAATTGAAGCGCCAACTGTACTAAGGAAAGGGGTTCCCAATAACAGTGGCAAATCCTTCTCTTCTTCCATTTCCATCACAGTGAGATCAGTTTGGATGATGCATTCTCCAATTTTCAAGTGATAGTTCTTGAACACTCCAAGAGGAGACTTAGAAGTTGCATCTCCAAACATGATTGAAGTAGTAGGGCGCTGCAAGGCTCCAGCTATGCCTAGCTTCTCTGCCATGGAGAGAGAGATCAGATTGATGCTTGCTCCAGAATCCACTAAGGCATTGTCAAGCTCAAGATGCCCAAGTGTGCAAGGGAGAGTGAATTTCCCTTGATCCTTGACCTTTGGTAGGAAAGTGGGTGAAGTAAGCAGGTTGAACTGATGAGTAGACTCTTGTAGGACCTCTGAAACTTTATCACTGTTGGCTAGAACATCCTTGACCATTTGCATTTGATCAAATGCCTCACTCATGCTATCCATAGAGGCAACTCAATTCCAATCCCACTGAGATCTCTTCTGAACTTGTGAATCACTTCCTTGTGACCTTGACTAAGTAGGCGAGACGAGA